TCTTCAGTCTTTTTAGACGACAGAAATATAAGGTGTTTTTGCCTCTTAAGATTTATCTTGTCTTCAATTTCTTCATCCCACCAGTAAGGATGCTGGTATTTATTACTGGTTTTGTGAACACCTAGGGCTTCTTTCGCTGCAGAGTGGATACAATCTTTGATGAACTGATATTGCTCTTCCGTGGTACCCGAGAGTCCATCCCCCAGCTTCTCATCTAAGCGTTTCCGATACAGAGCCTTGACACTAGGGTGCTCCAAACTTTCGATGTTATACCATACTTCATGATTTTGCGTTCCCTGACTCTGCTGTTGCTCAGGCATTGGCTCTTTATCTTTAATCCCTTTAACGGGAAACGCTATATCTGCTCGGAGGAAATGATGATCACTGCCGCAAGAGAGTCCCCTGCACACTCTAACTTGCTGCAATTTCAACTTAGTAGTGTGCTTTACAATTACATAATCGATGATGGATTTCAATCCTCGCGTTGGCTGGACCCAGGTATACTTATGGATGTCTTTGTGTTGAAAAAAATATTCCAAAATATCATACTGTATTTATTTAAAGCTGGTTTGGAAGTTCCCCTGAAGAGCGCATTGTATAAAGTTATTGCTGCTAACTCTGCTAACTCGAGTTTTTGCTGGCCAACCATAAAATTGGTGTTTTGCCCCGACAATATTGATGTCTTACACTAACTACCACCTGAAGAATCACAATAGTTGGTGTCATGCTCAAGTATAGTTCGCCTACAAAAGCAATCCGGTGTCACGCCGACTGAGCTATCTGGTTCAAAATCAGTCATACCATTGGTGGGGGATACAAATGCTTTCCTTTTTAGTGAATGACAACGTGAACATACGTACTTGATGTGCTTATTTTTTTCCCCCAATATGAATTTCTATCTCATATTTTTTGTGTCGCATAAGGAATTATTTTATAGAAGAGGGAAAAGAAAGAAGAGTATATGAGGTTGAAATAGCGTAAGGAGAAGGAGAGAAAGGAAGAAAAAAAGAATAGTAGGTAGTAAAAGAACGAGAAGAAGAAGAAGAAGAGGCTCGGAAAACAGAAATAATTAGGAGAAAAAGAAGAAGATTACTAAGATAAGTAAGAGAAGCAAAACCTACGAAGAATTTAGATTTTTTTTCTTCGTCTTTTTCTTTCTCTCTTTTTCCTCCAATGTCTTCCCCCTTGGAAGGATACCCCTCTGCCTCTTCATTAAGTGATGTAATCGAGGAGGGGGGTTGAAGGGGGAGGGGGTGCCAAATACATGTCTGCTTGCTCTCCAATTTTTTCTCGCGACGGCCCTGGAAGTACATTAAGCTTCGTTGACACCATTCTTAACGACACCAATCTCGCAATTTCGATGACCTTTTTCGGGTTGGGATTTTGCGGTGCACGTTTTCGGCTTGCAGATTTTCGGCGCACAAAATTCACATTACAAATATAATTTTTAAGCATCAAAAAGCGGGTTTGAACACCTTTTCCGCTACAAGATTCCGTGTAATTTTGAAACTTTAAACACGTATTCCTTTAAATAGCAAAATCTGCACTTATGGTCCTTCAAACCCCTTAATTGAACGTCGTACTCATAGTCGTTCCTTGAACAGCTCCTTACCTTAAGGAGGTCCCATATTTTTTATATCGTGATCAAAGGATCACTTCCTACAGTAGCCATAAGTAAGGCAAGAGAACAAATATTTTTATTAGTGCACTGAGGATCCCTCAAAACCTTCCTTATTCTCAAGGAGAATATCAATGAATGTGTCGAGGGCAAATAGTCAAATCAGGCATTTTGTCAAATGCCCAGGCAAATAGTCAAATTTTCTTACTGAGATTGAAATTTTGATTTTTTACCCTGATTTAAGACAAAATAAGTTGTTACTCCTGTAAACAAGAAGTTTCTGAAAAATATGCAGCATACAATAGTATTTTAAACGCTTTTAAGCTCCTGACTGCACATTTCTGATGAAATTTTCAGCACGTCATAAAACAAAGAATTTTTGAAATTTTAAAATTTAAATGCACTTAAGGCATGCAAAAAGGAAGCAACAAGAAGAGTTCGCTGATTTGAAGAGTTACTCTTCCCAAAATTTTGAAAACCCGTGAACTCTTCGCCATTAATTTACAGAATTCCGCATACTGTCAAAATTTGACTACTGGCCTAGCCATTTGATAAAATACCTGATTTGACTAATTGCCTTCGAAAAATGGACGACCAAGAAACTCTAACCATAAGGCCCTGAGTCATGGCTAAAATCCGTAGAGGAATCCGGGAAGAAATCAGGATTTTGGCGGGGAAATTGGGACTGGAAGCCGGTTGCGCGGCGCGGAATCCCCACGCTGCGCCGCGGCGCGGGAAACCGTCGACTTGCTCCTCCACGTGCGGACGTCAGCGTCTTGAGCGTCAACTCAGTTCTGGATGCGGTGCCGCTGCGCGGTGCGGATGGGAGAAGCGATCCTATCCTACCCCCATTAAAAATTTATAATAGCGTCTCGCTGCGGCACTTGACCTGTCTGCCGCCCCGCCGGCCACCACCTCAACAACGCATTGCCGCATGCCGATGAGGTGAGGTGCCCTGTAAACCCCGACCAGGTAAGTCCCTCCCTCTCCCCCTCTGCCCCCGCCCCCGCCCCCACCCCGGTGGAGGGTCCATGTACCCCGATCCTTGCTCCCGTCCGGGGCTCACCCGTCCCCGTCGCAAGTCGCCTTTCCTCCTCACTACTTTTTAAATTTCATTCCTCCGGCATCTTCCCGGTGACGAATAGGTGAGGCAGCCCTTGACTTTCATATCGCACAAGAACAATCATTCAGGGGTGTCATTTCGGACAATTTGGGGGAGAGAATAATATTTGAAGCGAGGAGTGCACCGAAAGAAATGAAGATAAAACGGTGAAATAAATATAGCATCCTACGTGTCAAAAATGTGTCTAGTGATTTAGGGCTGCAGCTTTGAAAGTCCCCGCGGTTAATGTCAAATCTTGGGTATGCGAACCTAACTGCTATTATAAAGATTTTGGGCATTTGTGGTGGAACTTTAAAAGCTACGCGAGCGCAACACAGATGAAGATCAGAGAGACTAATTTAGCGTCGCTTTTTGACTTTTCTCTTAAACAGGAACAATACCTTAATAGCAACATCAACCGGAGCATTGAGCGTTCACGGCTCGCGCCATCGCGCCTTCAATTTTGCAAATGCAACACGGACGTCTTTCAAGTTCGAATAGTTGTATCTCTGCTCTGCACCGTCATCGACACCCTCTTTTTCCTTTGTTCTCTTTCCTTATTGTGTTTTTCCCCAATTGTTTTTTTTTTTTTTTTTTTTTTTTTTTTTTTTTTTTTTTTTTTCCAGTGAAGGTTTCATATTCTTCATGTGATTGGAGATGCGATTGACGCAGTAAATCTATGTTTGTACTTACATTCTTCCCGTATCTTGATAGTCGTTGAAAAGTTTATGATCAGTAATGAAGAATTAATCGACCCATTATTGTCTATATTTTGAAAGTTAATTCGAAGTTCGCGTTGAAAGCAATGTAATTTTCGCCCAACTATTAACAGTATCAAAGACATTAGCAATTAATCGGAAAAATTGAATATTTTGATCGGGATTAGAAGTATCTTACACAATATCTTTTCGCAACTTCTATATTTTTTGTTCAAATAATTACTATTTTCAGGTATGGTCGCTACAACACCGTTAAGCAACTACTCGAGTCTGAAAAAGGGACTTTCATTATCAACGAAACTGATGGTGGAGGTCTGACGCCTCTGCACATTGCGTCGCAGCAAGGTTCGGATCTTTTGAGCTTTTACATAAAGTGATGTGAAAAAAACTACCCCAGTGCAATAAGTTTAAATGAACTCAAATGAGATCTCTTGTAAACTTAAATCCACTTTGGGCGACTAAACGCATCACATCATCGAATGATAAAAACATTAATGCAACATTTACGATATCCAAATACATGTCTCTCTGTGGAAATTAAGAGAATTTGGGACATGGACATTGTTTCATCATGTCTGTCACGGGAGTCATACCGGAGAGCCTAACTGAACACCTAACTCCCAGATCAACCTCTTAAAACCAGAAGCCAGTCATTCTAAGCACCTGCAGTGTTGTCAGGAATTTCCCTTACATTGAATAGTCCTTTTTCTTTCCTTGTTCTATTATTTCTTTAATTCTATTCTCAATTTCTCAGGTTTTTATTCTTGAAAACTTTAATAGTAAGAACAAGAAAAAGTCCCAAGACTCTAGTCCTCGACTTAATACCGGGAGCGGTCCTGTAAGATTTAAAAAAAAAAGAAAAAGAAAAAATAATTAACAATAAAATAAACATGAAGTATTAAATAATTGTCCGAACGGGGAAATTGAACCATTTAAATGTGTTTACTATGTATGAATACGTATGTGTTAACTTACAAGAGTCGCCTCTGTGCGTCGTTACTCAGAACTTAGGCTTGTTTTGGCGATGTGGAAATTACTATACGATGCTATTACAGGGCATACGCGGGTGGTTCAGTTATTGCTGAACAAAGGTGCATTGCTTCACCGCGATCACAACGGCCGGAACCCGCTGCATTTGGCCGCTATGAGCGGCTACACTCAGACTATGGAGCTTCTGCACTCAGTCCATTCGCACTTGCTGGATCAAGTAGACAAGGACGGGGTGGGTACAATACATCTCATTGTGTACTTTGTTTTAGAGTTTAATTTTTTGGTGGGTTCTAAATATTTTTCTAGAGCACCAAACCATGAGAAAGTCATATTATGAAGACACCCTGGTCACAAATCACCTGAAATATCAGTAGGCATTCCAGGGTGTAGGATGTTGCCTGGTCTTCTAGCCTTACCCCAGTGTTGCGCGTTACGAATAGTCTCTGCTTCTCTTGTTGTCAGGCGCGCCACTTTTAAGGCGAAGGAAAAATCGTCGCTTGAGGAAAAGAAAGAACACTAAAGGAAGAGAAGTTGTAACAAAATTCGAAAGTCTATTGCTTGCCGTGTCATAATATTTATTGAAGGTTGAGCTTGTAGAATTGGTGACGGGTGTAGATGGAGCCTCGTCGTTTAAACCTCGTCGTTTAAACCTCGTCGAAATTATAAAAAGTTTACATTGTCACTATTTTACCCTCTTCCCTATAACTTTCGTATTGCTCTCGAAAACCAATCACACACCTATCTTTCTCATTTTTCTAACAATGCCCACTTACGCAATGAATGTTTGATGTCTTGTGGCGTTTTGGAACTCCGCAGTGAAAACTTGCGTTTGAAAAAGCCCGGCCTCATTGATGTCACACTCGACCTGCAATTTTTCATTGCCATCCCTCTGAAGTTTGGCCTTGATTTATCTCTTGATTACCTACAGTTACTTTTTTCATCTCTGCAAAACTTAAGTGTGGAAAATACTTTCTTTTTTAAAGATTGAGGCAGGTTCACTTTTAAATTCAAAAGCACCATCTCTTGGTATCCAGATCCAGAGTGTACACAGTCCACTCGAGCTTGTACAACATTTACCTCTTGTGCTTTCAACAGAAGTTCTCATGTCAATTTTCCATGAAGATTCTCTCGTTATACTGGTTTACAATTAATTGCACCGGCTTTTTTTTTTTTAAAATTCGCCTTGGTGATATCCAAAAAGTTGAATATGGACTTTCGGGCCTCCTCAATTCACCGGGTCCTTGTCACTAGTCGAGATTCGTTTTCATCCTCTAAGGAAAATTGCCTTTTTCCCTGCCCAAAAAGATTTGTCATTCTGGGTTCAAACCCAATTTCCTCGAGGTATTGAATTACATCGCAGTATCCGCGATCAACGATGATGTCACTGTCTGCAAACTATTCCAACTTTTCCTGATCCAGCTCAAATTGGCAATATTAACTTGCTGCATCGTTATTTTGACCTTGCCTTTTTCTAGAATACATAAGTAACACGTACACTTCTTCGCATAATATAACCCTAATATGCGTTTAATTATAGGGGTAATATATCTTTTATTATCAATTTACAAAACCATTTGAATACATAGAATATAGAAGATGATCCATACCCCTGGAACCTGCCACTGACTTATATCTGGTCCAAAATTAGAATCATTACGAATGGATATCGCTCCATCTGTGTGCACATGACGTGCGCCAAGTGCTTATGATCATATATTTTGAAATTTTCGTGTAATAAATATTTATTTCCAGTTTGTATATCATATAGAATTATGTTCTAACCCATAATAATACAATTTAACACTATATATTTGAATTTACAGTATCATAAATAGTACACATAATTTTTTAGTATGGTGGGTGGTGTAGCCCTTTTCACACAGTAAGATCAGAAATTTTATTTGTGTACAGTCACAGTAATTTTAGCCAATGTAATCGGAGATCGACATTTTAATAAACCTTATAAGACTCAACTATCGAAGTAAAATTAATTTCAAAAACATCTAGGAATGATCGATTCTAGGATTAAAACCTCGCAAACTAACACTGGCTGTTTGGCGTCTTGATCTGGTTTCAGAATACTGTTCTCCACCTCGCAACGATGGAAAACAAACCAAACTCGATATCACTCCTACTATCAATGAACTGCAAACTTCTGTACAATTTTAGCGATCTTAGTGCAATCGACTATGCTATTTATTTCAAATTTCCCGAGGCTGCCTTGGCGATGGTCACGCACGATACGAGGTGCTTATACTTTGAAACTGGAAGTACTTTTTTTTTTCATTTGACGTCATGGGATGAAAGAGAAATTTTCATGTCGGAAGCTTTTCTTACTGCTTTTGTGGTATGTCGTTCTTGAAGGCAATGCCATCTCCGAAGTTCAAATCGTCCCCCTTTTGATCATAGTCTAGAAAAAAGTGTTTACCACACCCGTCAATGAATGTAGTTCGGGGATGGGTCAAGATCCAAGAATAACAGCGTTGCCTTGCCCGTATACGAAGAACGGCACGATAAACGCAATTCAAAGTTTGGTCTATTCAGATGAAATGTTTAAAGACGAATTTTTTTAAACTTCACCCAATTCAACTTGCCGGGTATGATTAGGTTATTCATTTCAGGATTTTATTACCCATCAAGCAGCTTCAGAACGTTGTGTGAATTATTTCATTTGTTAATTAAATATCTAAATTCCTTTTGAATTCGCAGCTTCTTAGCCTTGACAGCCTTTACCCCGTAAATTTTCGGATCTCATTTGAGTCGGAACACAACATTCAAAAAACAAAAGAACCTACTCATGAATGCACGTAAAGTAGATAGCCCATAACAATATTTCTTCGCGTTAAGAATTTCTGTGCATGCATGCAGCTTTAGTGTAAATTGGTGATTTTTAATGGATGCTGTGTTGCTCTCACAAACGATGGATTAAATTTCAGATGGTTTTTTTGTCCTCCAGAGGGGCAGAGGTTATGGCATTAAGGTCGGATAAGCATCCCTGCGTTACGCTGGCTCTCATAGCATCAATGCCTCGAGTTTTCGAGTCAGTGCAAGATAAATGTATCACGAAAGCAAATTGCAAGAAAGACTCCAAATGTTTTTATGTGAGTACTCACAATTGTAATGTTTTTAGTTCCAAATATGTGCATTTTGTCAGTGGTTGTTGAAAGCGACTCATTATTGGGGCCGTGGCACGTGTCAAAGAGATCCCCTTATCCCATAATATTAGTTACAATGAAACAAGTACAATAGCATCATGACAAGTGTCTACATTACAAAACTATTCTTCACCTAACGAAAATGCGATAGGTCGTAAAATGCCGTAGCTAGCAAATAATTCCGTATCGACCTGAATAAGGGAGCTATATCTTCGTCGCGGAGATGTTCCTTAGTTCCTCAGGGCACAGCATTTACCAACTGGATAGCCGAAATTGGAAATCTGATCTGACGACGAGGGAGATGAAAGTCAATGGTTTAATTCTACTATCATATGTATATTTGCACGACTGACGATGATAAAATGTTACTTATGTTTGACTAATTTTCGACCGTTGTTGTCATTTTCTAACAGATTAAGTACAATTTTTCCTGCCTTGAAAGTTCGCGCATGTACGCGCAGGTAGATCAAAAAACCGGGGAAGCGCTGACAATCTCCAAACCGATTCCTCTACCCGCTCTGAATGTAAGTAAGCTAAAACGAGACAAATTAATTAATATATAGCCATCATTGTGTGTTCCTCTCATGCCGCCGTCCAGCAAATTTCTGTTTTCGATTGCATCCAGTCGCTGCTGCTTCAACTATCTTATTTCCCACAATTAGAAAAGATTTGAATTAAGGCACTATGTGCTTAGGCTTCTCTTCATTATCTCTTTAAAAAGCTATTACTTTCACAAAGCTACTTTTCTTTCAAGTATTACATACATAAAGCCGCTTTTATAGC